CGTGCACCAAGTTGTACTCACACCACACTTCACACGTTCGTATCTAACCGTTATAGTGGCCAGTTTCAGGTTCTCATTGTTTGTGTTTTTTGTTTTCATTTTTTTTTTTTTTTTTTGGTGGCCCGCCAGGGAAGGCAGGGTGCAGTCCACGGCCTGCTGACACTTTGTGGAGGGAGTGCCCACGCTATTACTTTGCAGAATGTATGAACCCGCTTTCCCACCCTAAGTTCAGTTTCAATATTTTTTTTTCCCTCTTCCTTTCATGGACCTGACCCCGTTGCCGTAATGCCCTCACGGAAGGCATACTCACACAACAACATTGGGCTAGGTATCTACCAGGTATCACATCCAAAGGGGTGTTTGTTTTTCTTCTTTTATTTTTTTTTGGCTGGGAGTGGGTCATTTTTTGAAAGTCTGGCCGTGCTTTTTTTCCCCCCCAAGGAGAGTACCAGAAAAGACACAAAACGGATCCTAGGCTCGACAAAACTGGGTGTGCAGTGACAATCAGGGTCGTAAAAAACAGGCTCGGATGTAGTGGTGGTTTGAAGCAACAACGGGTCTCGCATCATGCTGTCCCGTGGGACACTTTCCCTGCTGGGCCCAGCATCACGCGTTCCCCCCCCCCTCCCCTCCCTCTCCTTTCGGTGGGCGCGGCCTGTATAAACAGTTCAAATATTCCGATAGGGCCAACGCAATGCCAACGGGCCTCACCACATGTGAATCCTTCGCTGAAACATGGAAAGATACATTGCCATATTTTTTGCAGCATGGGTGTCGGTCACCGCTCGCGACATGTCCAATTTCCTTTTTGTCCTTTTGCGGGGCGAGGCGATGTCACAGCCAGCATGCCTCACCACATGTGAATCCTTCGCTGAAACATGGAAAGATACATTGCCATATTTTGCGCAGCATGGGCCTCGTTCCACCACTCGCAACATGTCCATATTTTGCCGGAAAATCCATTCTAAGAACATCGCCACACCACTCTCGAAATGTGCAAAATGAGCGTGAACTTCCCGCCGGAACACGGCCAGATGCATCCCCCGCATTTTCTGTGGCGAGGCCCTGACGTTGAGTCCTTTGGTAAGACTTTGCAGCTTTTTTTTTTGCTTTTTTTTTTTCCTTACACTGTGGCGGGCAAGCGGGTGTGGAACAGGTGGGAAAGCCACTGGAAGGAAATGGGAGGGGGTGAAATGGAATGGAACGAACAGTGGGCATTGCTCGGATTCTACAGACAAGACTCCAGGGGAAGAAAGGGTGGGGATATGTTGCTCATGCAATGAGGAGCATAATTTGTGAAGTGATCTGGTCTGATAGAAACAGAGCAAGGTTCCAGAAGCTCCCGCTGTCGGATGTGGAAACTAAGGAGAAAATCAAGACAGCAGTGAAAACAGCAATCAGAGTTGATTGGAGGACAAAGACAACGGCAGGGAGAGGCAGCAGCAGTCAACTTCAATGGTTTCACAACACCTGGGCCAGAAGTCATCATCTGGCTTCGATCAGTCCCTCCCGGCACCTGGTGCTGTCCGATCGGATCACAAAAGTGCGAGCTCCGCCTGGAGACACTGAGGAGACAAGAGCGAGGGGGAGGGCAGAGAGGTGGAATAGGCTGCCAGAATGAGGCTGTGCTAACTAGTCCAGACCAGGGCATTCGGTTGGAGTCAAATACGCATTAGGGGGAGGTAGAGTGCCTCTCAGGCCAACCTGGGCACTCGGTTTACAGGGTCACAGCAGACCACATAGGAGAGTGCCTGCCAGTAGCTGTTTATGTCCAGGCCTGTGGATCAGGTCCGATGGGCCTTTGTTAGTCCCAGCTGTAAGTATTTAGCAGTTAGCTTGTAGGTAGTAGAATTAGTTAGGCAGCTCAAGTTGGTAGATCCAATTGTTTGTCAAGGAACCTAGAAGCCCAGGATAGTTTGCTGTAAACAACTGGACTGTGACAAAAGAGGAAGTGTGCTCAATGATCTGAAGAGTCAGCAGGAGAGACTTTTCGCAGGCTGAGGGCCTGTAAGCTAATACAAGCTGACTGATGCTGTCAGAGATACCCCCGGGTTGAATTGTGAGGTCTTCGGGCTCGTTTTCGATTATGCAAGAAATTGGTGAATTGGTTTTAAAAAAAAAGAAGGTGTTTCCCCCCCTCTATCCATCGTTCATGTACGAGCAAGCTGTCGGATCGGTCACGTACGAGCGCTGAGGATTGGAGAGTACATTCCAGAATAATATTTGCTGCCGATTGGATGATCCTGCTCTTTGAGCACGCAGCCCTTTCAGTGAAAAAAAAACAGTGGTGAATCGCTCTGGTGTCAGTCGGGCTGTGGGTAGAGCTTTCAGCACGAAGCTCTCAATCTGGGATCAGTCATGGGCTGACTTGGGCCATTTACCCACGAGGCCCCCCCTTAGCCAGTCGTGGCAACATTTGGAACTAGTAATTGGGACCCCTTGACCAGCAAGTCATGGGAACCTCAAGGATCAGTCAGTTATGGGACACTCAGGGACCATCTATGGAACCCCTTCAAGGACCAGTAAATCATGGGCCAGTCATAGAATCATTTGCAAGTGTGGGGCCTTGCCCCAGGTTCCGCTCCAAACTCAAAGCCAAGTGAAGACCATGCCAAAGGTGAAGGGATGGGGGAGAGCAAGGTCCCACTTACTGGGACTTGTTGTTTCCCAGACCCGATCCCAGCCAATCCATGGTCACATATGAAGAGTGGGGGTAAGTGGGACTTTGCCTGGTGTGCTGCTCCGTTCCTCTCTGTCCCACCGAGACTGTGTGGCATACTGATACCACATGGGCCCCAGTTAGGGCCCGGTTCCGTAGTAGGCACGGGTAGGCCTAGTGACCGGGTCACGACGGTCCCAGTTAGGTCTAGGTAGGCCCAGGACCCGTCGGATCAGTTTAGGGTCCGGTAGGCCTCATTTAGACCCCACCAGACCCAATGGCTAGTTGGTTAGGCCAGGTACCAGGTCCATCGGTAGGACCGGCTGGCGGCGCAGTTTTGGCGCCACTTTTCAGATTACAAAATCGGATCTGAACCGTTGGGCCTGATCAACGGTCCAGACCCGAAGGCCTCCGTAGGACTGAGGCCGACCCAGCGCTATATCAGCTGGGTACCAGCCTCAGTCAGTAGTTTAGTAGTAGACAGAAGATTAGTCTTCAGGATTAGCGCAGCATTTCGGCGTTAGCTGGATTAGCGCAGCGCTGCAGCGTTCCCATGAGCAGCGAGGAGAGAAGGATCTCAGTGGCAGAGAGGAAGTAGCGCAGCATTGGGAGCAGCGTCAGCCACCGGCCCAGCCCACGGCCCAGCACCAGTCCCTGCGGCGCCATAGCTACCATATCAAGTGCCAGGGAGAAAACACCGCTCTCTCTCTCTCTCTCTCTCTCTCTCTCTCTCTCTCTCTCTCTCTCTCTCTCTCTCTCTCT